TCTCTCTTCACGTGGCTTCTCCCGGAGTCTCAGGATCTCTCTTCACGTGGCTTCTCCAGGCGTCTATTTTGGACCTCTTTACATGAGAGTGGCCTTCAACGAGGACAAAAGCTGAAGCTACAAGGCCTCTAAGGCCAGGATGTGGAAGCCTAGGAACATCAATTCTGTCAAACTCTATTGGTCAAAGTAGCCCACAGGACTGGCCTGGTCCAAGTGGAGGGAAATAGGCTCCAGCCCTTGATGGCAGGGGCAGCTTCCACCAGGGAGGGGAGGGACAGTGGGCTGCCATGTTTGGAAGCCATCTACCATAGCCCCCAAGAGCAAAGTAGACAAAAGGTGTGAAATGTCATCCTGAAAAGGGATGTCTACATGGCCAACAGGGTTATGAGGAGATACCCAAACCTACGTGTTTATAATTTGCAGGGAAATGCAAATTGAAATAAAATTCAACAACATGCCAACCAGACTGGCAGAAACGAGAAAAGTGGACAATAAGTCCTGGTGGGATATAAGGCAACAGAAACTTTGTCAGCCTGGCCAGCAACTTGGCAGTAATTAGGGTTATTCATTATCTGTATTTCCTAGGACCTAGAAAACTACCATGGGATCTAAGGAGACAGTGTCAAAGGATATTTGTGCCACTGCTGTTTGAGGACACCTAGGTGACCATCGCTGGGGGAGTATTTAAATAAAATCTAGAGGAAATATGCTAAAAAACAAAACACAGGAACACGTAGGAGTGATGAACTACAGGTACACAGAGTGACAGGTTGGACATATTCCAGTATGGGTGTCAAACAGGTACAGAGTTAAGTAGGTGGAGAAATGGAGGTGGTGATGGTAGGTATAAAAGATGAAATAAAAGTCATTAAACAAGGAGCTCAGTAAGCCTCATTGGAATCCTGGTGCCCAGGCTGGTCTTGAACTCTGGCCTCCTGTTTTGCCTTCCAAAGCACTGGGATTATAGGCACAAGCCACTATACCTGGCCTACTATTTTGGATTTTGATTTTTTTCATCTGAGAAATGAGAGCATGTAGTGGGGTCTCGGAAATAGAAAGCATTTAAACTAGCTAATTGGTGGAGAGTTTAGTAAAGGGTCAAGTTACAAGGTGAGCAGAGAGCAGGGGGACCACAGGAAAAGCGTGGGACCCCAGTGCTGAGAAATCAGGAAGCGAGGAGTGAGGAGCACCTCCCAGCCTAAGGCCTCAAGGGAGTGAGCTCCTTGATGGAATCTGGGTCCAGGGACACAGCTGGCTCTTGGCGACTGTAGGAAGGGGTGGGCTCTTCCTCTCCTCCATCCCTCAGCTCTCCTGCTGGGGAATCAGGGCTCTCTAGAGAAACCAACCAGCAGAGGGGTGTGTGTGTGTGTGTGTGTGTGTGTGTACACGCGCGTGTGTGCGCCTCATCAAGAGAGAATGACAAAGAGAGATTTCTTGTAGGAATTGACTCACACCATTGAGGAGGCTTAGTGAGTCCAAAATCAAATGGGGAGGCCAGTAGGCTGGAAAGCCAAGAAAGTGCTGCAGTTGGAACCTGAAGGCCGTCTGCCGCAGAGCGCCCTCTTGTTCAAGGAGGGTCAGTCTGCTGCAGTATTTAGGCCTCACAATGATAGAAGAGACCCACTCGCATTCTGGACGGTGATCCGCCCTACTCAAAGCCCACTTATTTAAATATTCATCTCATCCCAAAGCATACTTACAGAAACATCAAGGGTGATGCATAACTAAATCTCTGAGCACCATGGCCCAGCCAAGCTGACTCATGAAATTTTATGTGTTGCACCAACAGAGCCAGAATGCAGGGGGAGCTTTGATGCAGCCCATCCAGGTCCACCTCCTAGGTGCAGGGCAGGGAGGAGGAGCATGGGAGGAGCCTAGAGAAACAAGCTCTGAGAAGAGTATGGCACAAAGGATCGACGCCACATCAGAGCTTGCAATCTGGTGCCAGCCCTGAGCCAGGTTTTGTTCGTTTTCTCCCTGATGAGTTTTTTTATGTTTATTTAGGTATTTATTTATTTTAAGACAGGGTCTCGCTCTGTGGCCCAGGCTGGAGTGTAGTGGCCTGGTGTGATCTCAGCTCACTGCAACCTCCATGTCCCAGGCTCAGGTGATCCTCCCGCCTCAGCCTCTGGAGTAGCTGGGAGTGCACACCATCACACCCACCTAACTTTTCTATTTTTAGTAGAGACAGAATTTCTCCATGTTGCGCAGGCTGGTCTTGGACTCTTGAGCCTCAAGTGATCCACCGGCCTCAACCTCCGAGTGCCCAGGTTATAGGTGTGAGCCACCGTGCCGTCCCCTGATGAATTTTAAATTATTATTTGCTGGTCTTTAAAATTCAGGAGATTTCACATAAAAATCTAGATTTCCACTTCTCCTGGAAAGGAAAATACCAGATCTATCTAGCAATACAAGACTTCGTTGGCACACAGCAACAATTGCTTGGAGCTGAATAGTTTGTGGAGGAAATCTTAAGTTGGAACATAAACATTCATTAGCTGCAGTCCTCACCACTCTTTAACGTCTTACACTGACTCTCCTCTTTCAACTCTGTCACTTTCCTGGCCTGTGAAGGCATTTGAACCTATGGCACCTGAATTGCATGATCTACGAGGTCCATTTCAGCCTTAGTGGTCAAGGGTTCTAATGGCCTAGAGCAGCACTGCCCACTGAACTTTCTGGATGATGGAAATGGACTGCAGCTGCCCTGTGCAACACAACAGACACTTGCTATGTGTGGCTGTTGAACATCTGTAATGCGGCTAGATCAAATTGAGATTTGTCCTAAGTAGACAAATGTAGTATGAGAAAATGAATGTAAAATATCCTGTCAATTTTTTATATCATTGACACGTTGAAAGGATATTTTTGATATGTTACATCGACTAAAATATTTTATTAAAATAAATTTCCATTTTTAAAAGCTCAATTTTTTAAATTTAAAAAAATGTATGTATCAACTTGGCTGGGCCATAGTGCCCAGATATTTGGTCAGGCATTATTCTGGATATTTCTGTGAACTAACATTGAAATCAGCGGGCTTTGAGCAGGGCTACTAGAAGAGTTTAAATGATGCATACAGTTCGAGTTGGTGGCTCACACGCAGTTGCTACTGGACAGCACCAGCCTTATAGGAAGATTGTGGCTGCTTCTCTGTATTCTCAAACCATCTGGACAGTGGCAACGTTGAAGAAGGCTGAAGAATTCAACGACTCTGATAGTCTATGCAACTGGGCGCAGTAGCTCACGCCTGTAATCCTAGCACTTTGGGAGGCCGAGGTGGGCAGATTGCTTGAGCCCAGGAGTTTGAGACCAGCTTGTGCAACATGGCAAAACCCCATCTCTACTGAAAATAATAGTCTATGAATCTCTGATTCTGATCCCAGACCAGGCTCTCCAGGAAGATCTGAAGGCTTACCTCTTCCTCTTCCTCTTCTGTCATGTGGCTCTGAATCCTCCACCCACAAATTCCCCTCAACAAAGCTGATTCTATTTTGGATGATTCAGAAGCCCCTTCCGGATGCTGTGGGCCTTGAGGTCAGGCCAGCCTTATATAGACAGAGGTAACTGCCTACATGTACCGAGAAAAGCCAAAAATAGCTTTTGCCCATTCACTCTCTATGCCTCCATGCTCCTGAATCTTACGTATCCACCAGAGGCCTTCTGGAAACGAACTGCCTGGCCCTTATCCAATCAGCGCCCTAGTGCCCATGCAGAAACTGGCAAATGCTGGTGGGTGGCTTCCAGAACTGTTTCTGTCTGACTAGCACAATGTTCTGAAGTTTGCTATGTGATGGGATCCAGGCCAGGGTGGGCTGGTGAGCATCTGAAGTCTGAACAATCAGATGTGAGCAGACAGGGGCCCGCTCGACAGAGCTGTCAGCCCAGGTAAGAAGGAGCAGGGCGTGAGCATTCACCCATTGCTCACTGAACACTGCATTATCTCATGGAATCCTCTAACGGTCCTTGAAGTAGATACTGTATTCCCCTCATTATAGCAGAGGATGCGCAACTTCAGAGAGGGTCAGCGTCTTGCCCACGGTCACACAGCACAGTAAGTGGCAAAGCTGGCATTTGAGTTCAGGTGTACTGCCGCCAGTCCAGGGCCCCTGAAGTTTGGGGGAATAGCTAGACACCTCCTTGCAGCCAGACAGCTAAGAGCAGGCCTGACAAAGGCCTTCTGCAGAAGGTTAAAATTGATGGTCCTCATGCTGGCTTTGGCCCATAGACCTGCTAACATTGGTCTGCACAGTAGTCTTTCATAAACAAACAAACAAACAAACAACACTGGCTTTAAAAAAATGCTGGCATTTACGTTAAAAAGAGGATGACCGGCGTCTTTAGAAAAGTTGGAAAATCTGGTCATGGTGAGCCTCATTTTCAAGGGGCTTTGACCCTCAATTGGAGATGAGTAGCAGCTGCCCAGACAGGAGGGAGCCGGGGCTGCGCTGCAGTGCACTGCTGTTTGCATTCGTCCTGCTTTGTTCATGAACCTGAGTGGGCTGGCCCCTGTGGGTACACGAGTTTGCTGCTGCTCTTCTGCCTTGTGTACTTAGTTCTTTGCAGACCTGGTGGCTGGCCCCACATCCTGGAGGGGTACGTGGTCTGGGAGGGGTGTTAGGCCCTCTGAGGGTTCTGGCCACAGGTATTCCATTCAATCGCTGTGTGACTATGAGAATGTCACTTCCCCTATCCAGGCCACAGGACATTCCCGTGGGGCCTGAGAGTGACCCAGGCAGCATGTCCTTATAAGGGAAAATAGCTGTGTCCCCTACTGCTCCATCCCACAGAGTAGGAGCCTGGGGGACTCGGGAGCGGTCTGCTGGGGTTGATGGGGAACAGAGATGCTGGAGAGGTGTCTGCATTCCGGGTAGGAACTGGCTTTCCTGAGAGCAGACCTGCAGGACAATAACTGCAGAGGGTGTGCACAGGGAATTTACGGTATTGAGCATCTACTATTTGCAGTACCAACTGCACCACTAAGTAATCACGAGGTCTGTGAATTATCCCCTCCACAGCAGCAGAGCCCAGTGCTAACTGGTATACCCTGAAGCCAGCCTGCTGGTTCGAAATCATGGCGGTACCATTAATAGCTGAGTGGCGTAGCTGGTGACGTAGCGCTCTGAGTCTCAGTTTTCTGGGCTGTAGAATGAAAATAACATCCTTACCATAAAGGGATATTCAAAGTAAGGACTCAGTGAATTTGAAGAGAAATTCCTCAGAAGAGTGACTAATACCTAGTAAGTGCTCAATAAATGTTAACTGTTATTTTCATTAATCTTTTTTTTTTTTTTTTTTTTTTTTAGGCAAGGTCTTGCTCTAAGCCCAGGCTGGAATGCAGTGGCACGATCTCAGCTCACTGCAACCTCTGCCTCCCAGGTTCAAGTGACTCTCCTGCCTCAGCCTCCCGAGTTTTTGGGATTACAGGCATGAACCACTACAACTGGCTCATTTTTGTATTTTTAGTAGAGACGGGGTTTCACCATGATGGTCAGGCTGGTCTCGAACTCCTGACCTCAGGTGATCTGCCTGCCTCAGCCTCCCAAAGTGCTGGGATTATAGGTGCGAGCCACTGTGCCCAACCTTATTAACCTTTCTTTAAGAGGAGAAAACAGACAGAGAGAGATGAGGTCACCTGCTCAAGGTCTCATAGGTAGGGAGGGACAGAGCTGAGATTTGAAGCCAGGCCCAAGTCAGGCTAAAGACAGGAAGGGAGCCGGGGAAGGAGACCAGAGCCACTGCTCCCAGCACTTGGCAGGGGTCTGACTGTCTCCTATGAGTCCCAGGAGAAGGGATCAGGCTCCCCTGGGGGCACACAACTCTGGAGTGGGAGGGAAAGGGGAGCTGTATGGTTTCTCTGTGCTTCAGTTTCCTAGTCTGTAAAATGGGACTAATTCTACCTTCCTGGATCAGAGACACTGCTTGGAAAAGGCTGTCTTTCTCTCTTCCCACACCTTCCACCCGCTCCTGCTTGTGGGCAGACGATGAGGCATTTTGCCCAACCCTCTGGGAGGTGGACCCCAAAAAGGGCGGGACAAGGCACCCAGGAGAGCTTCATTAAAGAGTGGAAAAGCAGAAGTGACAGGTCCCAAGTCCCGGCGATTCCCCTACTTCCTCTCCACCTGCCACAGCTGCCAGAGACCGCCCGCCTGAAACCACTGCCATTCAGGCAGCATGCCAGGCCACCCAGGAGAAGCTGAGCACCTTGTCAAGACCAGGTAGGCCTGGGGACTTTACACACTGAGGGATACAGGTGAGAAAACAGTCAGCTGTCAGGGGTGAAGGATATGAACCGAAATCTTCAGCTCTGCCATTCCCTGGCTGTGTGACTTCAGGCAAATCCTCACCTCTCTGAGCCTCAGTTCCCCATCTGTGAAATGGAAGTAATAATGACATCTACGAGACTGTTGCCAGAGTGGAATGAGAAAATGCATGCATAGAACTTGGCACATGCTTGGCTCAGAGTAAGCACTCACCAAACAGCAGCTGGTTTCCTTGCCATTCAATACCCAGCGCGGGGCTTGTCTTCCAATACGACTTAGGGCTGGCTTTCAATCCTTAAACTTGTGTTTATTATAAGCTATTATTCCGAAAGTCATTGTGTTCCAAATGTTAGTTATGTAGTAGAAGGGCGGGGGTGGTTGGGTGTTAGTCCCAAATTCAAAAGGCTTCGGGAGCTGGGAAGGGGGTGCACCTGTGGGAGGCCACCTGGGTTTGCAGATAGACCTGCTAATTGATTAGCGGGAGCAGTCTACGGGTTGCTCCCCTGTCAAAGGGGGTTAATGAATACTCAGCTCCATCTACTTGTTACAAAGCTGGGAGCTCTAACCTAGATCTTCTCATCTCTCAAGAAAAGCTGGGAATTCAGATTTTAATGTGAAACTTTCTTATTTCCAAATGAGGCAGTTTATAGACACACACACACACACACACACACACACACACACACAGAGAGAGAGAGAGAGAGAGAGAGAGAGAGACACACACACACAGCCACAATAAAGTGCATGTGTATATGATTCAGCTTTAGGGCTTCAAGACTGTGACTTCCACTCCAGCCCCACAGGCCTCACTGCATCTCAGCTTCCCACTGTTCTAGTCCTCCCAGCTTCCTGTTTCCTGATGGTCAGAGCACAGGACCTTTGCACATGCTGTTCCTTCTGTCAGGGATGTCCAACTCCCTTCTCCACCTATAAACTGATACTTGTCCTTCCACCCCCCGCTGGAATGTCGCCTCTTCCAGGAAGCCTTCCTGATTGCCCAGTAAAACAGACTCACTCTCCATCTACCCCACCCCAGTCCAGCCCCAGGCATATCATCCTCATAATTCTTTTTTAATGAACTTAAACTCTAATGATCTATTTAAGTCCCCTCAATTAGACTGTGAACTCCTTTCGTGGGACCAGGACTTAATTCATCTTAGTCATCTTGATCAGCTGTCAGCACAGAGCCTAGCACAGAGGAGACTTGAGTGAACATTTAATTGTTGGTGTAAGTATCATCAGGGTAACACGTGGTGCAGTTTTAAAGGATCCTTCTTCTGTGCCAGACCCTGTGTAAAGTGCTTTACATGCATTACTTCATTTTATTGTTCCAGGAGCCCTGTGACAGAGGTTTCTGCCTTAGTCAGGACTCATTTGGTTGCAAGTGACAGATTGATCTCATATTGCCTTGAGAAAAACAGACATTTTCTAGTGTGTGGTCCAGCATAGATTTGGGCTGCAGGCATGCCTGGATCCAAAGACTCCAGCAAGGTCACTGGACATCTCTCTCTGTTTCTTAGCACTGTTTTCCTTGTGTTGCCTTCATCCCAGGCTGACTCACACTACAAGGTGGTCCCCAAGGCTCAAGGCATCCCTCCTGCCAGCTTAGCTCTCAAGGCGACAAAGAACAGGTTTTTTTCAGTCATTGCAGCAAAGCCCGGAGGCAAGCTCTCTTAGCCCAGCTCCGGTCTGGTGCAATCCCTGTACCAGTCACTGTGGCCAGGGGAGCAGAGGTACTCGGATCAACTAGACCCGGTCACATGCGTGTCCTTGGAGCTGACGATGGTGGAGCAAGTCAGCGGCTTTGCCTGTAACCAACACAGCGATAGCCTCCCCACCTCCTTCCCTGCCCATCATAACCATATTGACATAGGACCTTGCTGCCTGCTCTCACTTAAGATCATGCATGATCTCTAACTCCAAGTGGGCCTCGGTGTTGCCCATATGTCCTTGCCCTAGTTCATTTGTTCTCCCACTTTCCCGGATAAACGTCTTGTACTTTCTCCTTCCTCTTCAAGCACCCCTCACCTCCTCCAGCATCTTACCTTCTCTGCCGAACTTGCTTCCTGCCAGCCTGAGCAAACAGAAGCAATCGATCATGCTACCGTCAGTGAATATTTTTGGAGTGCCCAATACATGGCAGACACTATGGTAGGCACTTGGGACATATCAGTGATCAAAAGGGACAAAGTCCCTGCCCCAGTGGAGTTGACTCTAGTGGTAGATGATAGCTGATGTGATGCCTACCTTGTGCCAGAAACGAAGCGACCCTAGGAGGTGCATACTCTCATTGCACTATTTTACAGATGAGATGGCTGAGGCACAGAGAGGTTATGATATGTACCCAAGGTCACAAAGCTGGCAAGTGATGGAGCAGGAATTGGAGCCCAGGCAGTCCAGAGGTCACACCCTTAGCATCACTCTCTTCTGTGTATATCAGAGGATACTTTGCACAACTGCACACACGTTGCCTGTTCACTCACCATCATCTGTACCTATTTCCTCTGCTTTCTCACATGCTATTAAGGATGAATGACCCCTGCTCCATTCTAAGACTGTCTCACCCTCTGCCCCCACCCCTACAGATGTCACTCCAGGGAGTCTCCCCTTTGTCAATGTGTCCCCTCTCAATGAGATCTTCCATCTGTAAACATGCTACAGATTTCCTCACTTTATGTGAATTCTTGTGGTCCAATTTCCTATAGCTACCAGCCACTGCTTTATCTCTCTGCTCTTTGACTGCAGAAATTACTGGAAAGAGTTGTCTATATTCGTGTCTCCCATTCATCTCCTTCCAGTCTCTCCTGGACTCGAAAAGTTAGATTTTTGGCCCAAAAAGCAAGCAAACTGTCCCTGCCAAGGCCAGCAGTGGTCTCTAAGTGGCTAAAAGGCATTGCTCAGTCCTCATTTTTCTTGACCTTTGGCTGCATTTGACGTATTTGATCAATCGCTTCTCTTGAAACGTTTTGTTTCCTTGGCTTCCCAAGTATCGCATTGGTTTCTCAGTCTCCTTTGCTGGATTGCCTTGAGGCGTGTCCTTGGATGTCTTTCCTCCCCAGCGACATATTCTCTTCAGGAATCTCATTATGCACCATAGCTGCAGGTAGGGATATAAAGTTGGGAGCCAACTATAAATCAATGACTCCCAACTTTATAACTCCAGCCTGTCCTCCTATCTGAATTCCTGACTTCTCATTCCAACCACGTTCTCAAAAGCTTCACGGAATGGCTCAACTGTATCTCAAATTTACGAATTCTGAAGTGAATTCCTCCTCTTTGCCCCTCCACTCAAAACTGTTTTGACCACAGAGTTCTCCTCTCAGGAAATGACACCTAAGGGCTTCCAGTTGCTCAGACACAAAAGCTCCTCGTCACCCTTGACTCCCCTCTTTCTCTCACACCTGACAACCAATCAGCCTCTGCAAATCTTATTGACTCTGCTAACAAAATGTTTTCAGAATCTAAGCTTTCCTTACTATGTCTCGCCCATCTCTCTTATTATAGTACAAGCCCCAGGAAGGTGAGGACTTGTGTTTGTTTCACTTCTGTTTCTCCAGTGGTTAGCACAAAGTTGTTGCTTAATAAGTGTTTGTTGAGTCAATAAACATAAGAATGATAGACTATAAAAATTCCTCAGAGGCCAACTAGTCCACCTTTCTCACCCCTAAATTATAGAGGAGACCCAGAAGTCCAGAAAGTAATAGAAGATGCAGAATCATACAGCAAGCCACCAAGACTATGAATTCAAGTGGAATTGTTTCTCTTTTTCTCTCTCCTCTTATTCATTCTCTCTCTTTCATCTGTGCTTCTCGCTTCATGACTCTTTCGTTCTCTTGGACCAGTTGCCTTCACAAAACTGTAATTATGGACTCAAGCAGGACAGACATTCAACCTCGCATCCTCAGGAACTGCATGGGAGTTGGGCTTTTCCCTGACAGTTCCAGTGAGTATAATCCTGGGGAAGGTTCTGATTGGTTCAGCTTGTGTCACGTGGGTATAGAGTGAGTTACTCTGATGGGTCCACCTGGGTAACTAAAAGGGTGGAGTAGGCCAGGCGTGGTGGCTCACACCTGTAATCCCAGCACTTTGGGAGGCCAAGGCAGGCAGATCACGAGATCAGGAGTTTGAGACCAGTCTGACCAACATGGTGAAGCCCTGTCTCTAATGAAAATATAAAAATTAGCCAGGCATGGTGGCACGTGCCTGTAATCCCAGCTACATAAGAGGCTGAGGCAGAAGAATCACTTGTATCCAGGAGGCGGAGGTTGCAGTGAGCTGAGATCGTGCCACTGCACCCCAGCCTAGGCGACAGAGCAAGACTCCATCTCAAAAAAAAAAAAAAAAGTGTGGAGTCTGTTGTCAGAACCAAGTGATGGGTTTGTGGGGCAGGGACAGTGGACAGACACCCACCCACCTCCTGATAGCAACCCACCCCTCAATTTCTTTGTGTGCAGGTGGAGGTCCTGGTGCTTGGGGCTCTGGAAGGCCCTTGCCCCACTGCAGGCTGCCTGGGATGCCTTCTCCCAGCCTGTTCCAGCCACCTGTGGCCAGCTGCTGACCCAGCTCCTCCTGTGTGCTTCCCTGGCTGCCGCTGCTGCAGGTCTGGCTTATCACTGGCTGGTGACCTCTCTGCTTTATCCTCCTGGACCTTCAGCCAAGGTGGCCGCTGTCTGTGGCCTCCTGGTCTTCCTGGGCTTGGGCCTGGTGCCCCCAGTCCGCTGCCTGTTTGCACTCAGCATGCCCACCCTGGGCACAGAGCAAGGCCGCCAGCTGCTCCTCTCCTATAGCACTGCCACCCTGGCCATTGCTGTGGTGCCCAATGTCCTGGCCAACGTGGGTGCAGCTGGGCAGGTGCTGAGGTGTGTCACCGAGGGCTCCCTGGAGAGTCTGCTCAACACCACTCACCAGCTGCACGCAGCGTCCAGGGCTCTGGGCCCCGCAGGTCACGTGGGCAGCCGGGGCCTGACATTTGAGGCCCAGGGCAATGGCTCTGCCTTCTACCTTCACATGCTCAGGGTCACTCAGCAGGTCCTGGAGGATTTCTCTGGCCTGGAGTCCCTGGCCCGGGCAGCAGCACTAGGTACCCAGAGAGTGGTCACAGGGCTGTTTATGCTGGGCCTTCTGGTGGAGTCGGCCCGGTACCTCCATTGCTACCTGACGGACCTGCAGTTTGACAATATCTACGCCACACATCAGCTGACCCAGCGGTTGGCACAGGCCCAGGCCACACACCTTGTGACCCCTCCGCCCACCTGGCTGCTCCAGGCAGCTCGGCTGAGGCTGTCACAGGAGGAGCTGTTGAGTTGTCTTCTAAGGCTGGGGCTGCTTGGCCTGCTGCTGGTGGCCACAGCTGTGGCGGTGGCCACAGACTATGTGGCCTTCCTCCTGGCACAGGCGACCGTGGACTGGGCTCAGAAGTTGCCAACCATGCCCATCACACTCTCCGTCAAGTATGATGTAAGTGTGATGATGAGAAGAGGGAACAGAGTCTTTGCCTTAAGGGAAGGGGGGGGGTCTGTTAAACCCTTGACTTGTGATTAAATTGGACTTGCCTCCAAGAAATAGCCCTTGAATTAGCCATGGGGCCCCATGCCATGGGCAGAGGGACACATCAGATACCCACAACAGCCCTAGGAAGTGGGTTCTATTTTCAATCCCTATTGCAGGTGAGGATGTTGAAACACAGACACCTTAAAATAACTTGCCCCCAAGGTCACTCTTCACAAGCGGCAGCATATTCTAGCCTCATCTTCCTCATTTGTACAAGTTGGATCAATCCTCCTAACCCTACAAGGCTATTGTGTGGCTTACAATGTCATATTGTCTTAAAGTACCCAGTAAGCTCTGCGCCACATCAGAGATATTTAATAAAGAGCCGCTGTTATTAATAGCTCACATCTGCCTATAGCAGACTAAAGGAGGGCTTTGAAATGGCCTTGATCAGGAGACAGCCAACTACAGCCTTCAGGATGAATCCAATGGCTTCTGGGTTTTGTAAATAAAGATTTTTTAGAACACAGCCATGGCATTTGTTGACGTGTTGTCTGTGGCTGCCCTACAAAGGTGAAGTTGAGTAATTGCAACAGAGACTGTATGGGCTGCAAAGCCTGAAATATTTACTATTTTAATAGTGATATAAAAAATGTTTACTATCGACTTATAATTGGACGTATTACTAACAGATCAAGAGTTGTGTTTTTTCGATCCTTTCTTTTGCCACAGATCTTTTTATTTTTTATTTCTAGCAGTGAGATCTCACACAAAAGTCCATTGCATAAACCATATCAAAGTGTCAGACTCTGAGCTAATAATATTAACAGTTTATATTTATCAAGTACTTATTACATACTAAGAAAGTGTTTTTCAAACTGCACAAAATCAATTTAATCAATTTATGGAGTCATAGACGCTTTTTAATGAAATAGAATAGACTGGAAAATTATAAGGCTATATTGCAGGCAATACGGGAGTGTATGATTTTGTGAATATTTTCTTCAATTACAATAAAATCTGTGCTTTGAGGATGTTGTAAAATGCATTTCTTCTTTTCTTTTTTGAGACAAGGTTTCACTCTGTTGCTCAGGCCAGAATGCAGTGGTGTAATGGAGGAATCACAGCTCACTGTAACCTTGACCTCCTGGGCTCAAATGAGCCTACCACTTCACCTACCTCTGCCTTCCAAGTAGTTGAGATTACAGGCACACATCACCACCACCCAGTTCATTTCTAATTTTTTTTTTTTAGAGACGGGGTCTCACTATGCTGCCCAGGCTACTCTCAAACTGCTGGGCTCAAGCACTTCTGCCACCTCAGCCTCCCAAAGTGTTGGAATTACAGGCATGAGCCACCATGCCTGGCCTGTAAAATGCATTTCTTACCATAGGTCACAGTAAAGAAATGTGTCAGGCAATGTTCTAAGTATGTTCCCTGATTTACTGCTTTTCCACCAAATCCAAGATGTCATCAATTGCAAGTCACACCATTATTTTATGTATCCTTAGGGCAGAAAATCTACCAATTCAATCTTGCAATGCTTTCTTATCACGTAGAATTTTAATTGTATTTGTATGAAATAGTTCACTTATTATTTAACATAGGTTTATTTTGTCATATCTTTCTCGTGTATACATAAAAAGAAAAATAGGGGGCTAGGCATGGTAGCTTATGCCTGTAATCCCAGCACTTTTTGGTCAGGAGTTCAAGACCAGCTTCACCAACATGGTGAAACCCCATCTCTACTGAAAATACAAAAATTAGCTGGGCGTGGTGGTGCATGTCTGTAATCCCAGCTACTCGGCAGGCTGAAGTGAGAGAATCATTTGAACCTGGGAAGTGAAGCTTGCAGTGAGCTAAGATTGCTTCACTGCATTCCAACCTGGGTGAGCAAGACTCCATCAAGAAAGAAAGCAAGAAAACAGGAGAGAGAGAGAGAGACAGAGAGACAGAGGCAGAGACAGAGACAGAGAAGGAGGGAGGGAGGGAAGGAAGGAGGGAGGGAGGGAGG